AATTACTACCCGATCAGGTGAGGTTCTGAAGCCAGTCAGTAGCTTGCTGTTCTTTTCTTCGCTGAATGGCGCACACTTACAGAACTACTGTTCAGTGAAGGAAAGCATATCACCTGCTACCTTTCATACCACATTTTTAAACTAAGATCAGTTTTTGTTGAGGACCAATAAAAACAGTAGCCATTTAGAATAAAAATTGTACATAATTCTTATGTTAATTGTTATATTGTACAGAATTGTACATGTTAAGAGCTAATAACAGTAGGTAAATGAAACCCTTTGTCACCTCTTGATTTTGTAGCTGGATTTCTGTGTTTTCAGCCAGCAGCACAGAGCCGTACAGGATGTCATTCTCAACACCATCAAGCCAGGATGAGGTGGACAACACAGCTGTGTAGAGCTGCTGCTCCATCTGAACTGCCTGGGTTTCACCTCCAACACCAGGCTGGGAAAAACATTTAGATCAGAACAGGCTCAGAGATACACGTTAACCAACAGTGTGCATTGTGTAGGTTATGTTGATAGTAAAGAAACACTAAAGACAGGAGATTTATGGCTCTACAAATATATTCTGGGTTGGAGGAAGATAACTACCTGGAAGTTAGGGTTAGTGTACATTCAGGCAGTTTTGTTTTTGATTAAAAAAAACAATGACTCAAACATATAAACCTTTTTTTTTGTTTTGATTTTACTGAGTCAAAATGAAATTTCAGAGAAAAAAAAACAATAAACAATTTTCAGTTTTCTGCACTAAACAAAAATGGACAAAACTGATTATTAGCGCTCATTTTTGATTCTTTTTTTTTTTTTTTAGAAAAGTGGCCGGACCCAAAAGTTCTCTCTGCCCTGCCATTTTTGTGACAGTGTAAAATTTATTTGATCATATTTACACACAGAAAACCTTTTATCCTAACTGTCTCTTATGTGGATAAAAAAAACACCTAAGAACAGAGAAAAGTCTGAGGGAACAGTATTTTATAGTACTGATAGTCAGTTTGTCGAATCTGGAAGTAAGCTCTGTTTGAACCATCTGATCTCCATGGTAAAAGATGCTGGCCTCATCAGCAGATCAGAAGTGGTTTTGGACACATTGCGTGCATATGTATCCACTTCAGATCTGGGTCAGGCCACTTATCTCAAAGAAATAAATAAAATAAATCAGAAGTGAGTGCTAGTTATCTGTTTTTCCATTTTTGTTTAGTCAGCAGAAACTTGAGAGAAACTATAAACCTGGGTGGTCCTGTGTTCAGCTGTCTGTCTGAAGCCGTCATAAAGAGTCTTCAGAGAAGATTTGTCCGACTGGGTGTCTCTTTTAAACAGCGACCCAGCTGGAGTTACACGAGAAGTTCTGGTAAAAACCTGAAGAACAGAAGAAAGACGACAGTCATCAGCAGATGCTGATGTGATCTACCACAGCTTCAGGAAAACCATTCTGAAAACACATAGTACCGGCTGACTGCAGTCCTGCTCTAGAGTTTTTTGTAGGAGCTGCAGTTTAGTTTTGAGCTCCAGTCGGAGACTCTCCCACCTCTGCCTCATCTGCTCTCGTCCCCTCTCAGACAGAGCTTCAGGCGAAAAAGGTTCTGTTGTACTGAAGAGGCAGAAACAGTCGTGATTATTGGGTTCATTGATGTACTCTTTGATCTGAAGCGATCAGAAACTACCTGGCACTGCTGGGTGAGGCCTGCTGGATCAGAATCTCTTCTCCTCTGCTAGCAACTGACTGAAGCAACTTCCTCTGTTCAGCAAGCTGCTCCTCCAACTCCTGCAGAAACACAAGAAAACATCAAGAAAACATCATAATTCACCTGTCAGTAAAATATTAAAGCAACCAGAATCATAGCATGAAGTCTCTCAAACACCAAGCCTGAGTACATGTCTTTACTAAATGCAGACATGACTGTGGTGGAGTCAAAGATCAACTGTCTATGGTATAAATGGACAAACAGCTCAATGAAAGAACATTCAAATGCAGCCATCAGGTGCCACCAGCCAAATGAACCAGTTTATGATCAAAGCATCTGTGAAGTTACACCATGGACAACTATGGACTGTCTTATGGATAGACAGATTTTCTATTTTTTTATTTACTGTTATTTAGCCAGGAAAATTCCATCGAGATGACAGATCTCTTTTGCAACGGCGGAATGGGCCTGAAGGCAACTTATTGTACATGCTTTTGGGGTGTGGGGGAAACCAGAGTACCCTCCGAGTACTCTGGAGGCAACCCTCAAACCCGCTGGTGGACACCGGCGGTGAGGGATGCTGTCAGGCTGAAGAAGGAGTCCTATCGGGTCTTTTTGGCCTGTGGGACTCCGGAAGCAACCGATAGGTATCGGCAGCAGATTGCGGCTAGAGTGGTCGCTGAGGCAAAAACTCTGGCATGGGAGGAGTTCGGAGAGGCCATGGAAAAAGACTTCTGTACGGCTTTGAAGTGATTCTGGTCCCCATTTGGCGTCTCAGAGGGGGAAAGCTGTTCACCACCATTTATGGTAGGGATGGTGTGCTACTGACCTCAATTCTGAACGTTGTGGGTCGGTGGGCGGAATACTTCGAAGACCTCCTCAATCCCACCGACACGTCTTCCCATGAGGAAGCAGAGCCTGAGGACTGGGTCGGACTCTCCAATCTCTGGTGCCGAGGTCACCGAGGTTGTTAAAAAGCTCCTCGATGGCAGGGCACTGGGGGTGGATGAGATTCGTCCGGAGTTACTTAGGGCTCTGGATGTTGTGGGGTTGTGTTGGCTGACGCGACTCTACAATATTGCGTGGACATCGGGGGCAGTTCCCCTGGATTGGCAGACCGGGGTGGTGGTCCCCCTATTTAAAAAGAGGAATCGCAGTGTGTGCTCCAACTATAGGGGTATCACACTTCTAAGCCTCCCTGGTAAGGTCTATTCAGAGTTCCTGGAGAGGAGGGTCCGTCGGATAGTCGAATCTCAGATTCAGGAAGAGCAGTGTGGTTTTCGTCCTGGTCGTGGAAAACTGAACTAGCTCTGCACCCTCAGCAGGGTCCTGGAGGGTGCGTGGGAGTTTGCCCAACCAGTCTACATGTGTTTTGTGGACTTGGAGAAGGCATTTGACTGTGTCCCTTGAGGAGTCCTGCGGGGGGTACTCTGGGAGTATGGGGTACCAAGCCCTTTGATCCAGGCTGTTAGGTCCCTGAACAACCGGTGCCAGAGCTTGGTCCGCATTGCCAATGCGTCTGAACTCATTTCCGATGAGAGTTGGACTCTGCCAAGGTTGCCCTTTGTCACAAATTCTGTTCATAACTTTTATGGACAGAATTTCTAGGCGCAGCCAAGGTGTTGAAGGGATCTGTTTTGGTGACCTTAGGATCGCATCTCTGCTTTTTGCAGATGATGTGGTCCTATTGGCTTCATCAGATCGTGATCTCCAGCTCTCACTGGAGTGGTTTGCAGCATATTGTGAAGCAGCCATGATGAAGATCAATGCCTTCAAATCTGAGACCATGGTCTTGAGCCGGAAAATGGTAGGGTGCCTTCTCTGGGTTGGGGAGGAGGTCCTACCCCAAGTGGAGGAGTTTAAGTATCTCTGTGTCTTGTTTACAAATGAGGGAAGAATGGAGCGGGAGATCGACAGGTGGATTGGTGCTGCATCTGCAGTGATGCAGGCGCTGTACCAGTCTGTCGTGGTGAAGTGAGAGCTGAGCCAGAAGGCAAAGCTCTCGGTTTACCGATCGGTCTACGTTCCTACCCTCATCTATGGTCACAAGCTTTGGGTAGTGACCAAAAGAACAAGATCGTGGATACAAGCGGCCAAAATGAGTTTCCTCCACAGGGTGTCTGGGCTCTCCCTTAGAGATAGGGTGAGAAAGTCATCCGGGAGGGACTCAGAGTAGAGCCGCTGCTCCTCCACGTCGAGAGGAGCCAGTTGAGGTGGCTCGGGCATCTGGTTAGGACGCCTCCTGGATGCCTCCCTGGTGAGGTGTTCTGGGCACGTTCCACTGGGAGGAGGTCCAGAAGAAGACCCAGGACATGCTGGAGTGACTATGTTTCTCAGCTGGCCTGGGAACACCTTGGGATTCCCCCGGATGAACTGGCCCAAGTGGCTGGAGAGAGGGAAGTCTGGGTCTCTCTGCTTAGGCTGCTGCCCCCACGACCCGACCCCAGATAACCGGAAGAAAACGGACGGACAATATATCAATTTGTTTGGATGACGATACATTGTTTGTTGTTATCACAAAGTCTGTCATAATACGATTTCAGTTCAATTGAATTCACAAGTCTTGGATCAACATGTGATATCTAACACATACGGTATGATATCAATCGACATCAGGCATATAAAGATGATGTGGATCTTGTTTTCATTTTGCCTCGATGTAATTATATCATTAATCATTTACTCGTCCATCAATGTGGATTGATGTATTGTTCTCTGCTCTTTTATTCATTTGATAAATGGCAAGTTGTAATTATCTTTTTATACCTGCAGTCATATGGTTGATTACCTTCTGTCTCTGAAGACTGTCCTCCTGCTGCTGAGTCCGTGTAGTACGAGCCTGGGCCAGCCAGTCCTGCACACTGGGACTCTGAGACTGACTGGACTCTGAGCCACTATCTTCTGGCTCCTGTAGACAACTCTGTAGATAAAGTGGGTTGCAGATTATAAAACAAGCACTTTTTAAGAAACACACATTAGCAAGAAAGTAAGACAGTCAAACAGAATATTGTTTTATTCACAGCAACAACTTGCAACAAATGAAGCTTTAGGACAATCATCTAATTCCACACCAATATCAAAATGTTCTGTCATTGTGTTACGACTGCAGTCTTAAAATTTGTCTGAGTGTGTGTGTGTAGGAATTTACATATTTTTCTCATTGGCTTTGGTTTCTCATTTTAGAATTGAGATTCTCAAAACTACTTGTTCAATCTTCACATCATTGTGTCACTTGTACACATTTTTTCAGGACAGGACAATGTGCAATTAAAACATGACCATAAAAACATTTGATGCATTGCACCAGTTTTAGCCTAAGGCTAATTTACATCTGTAGTGTACTGCACATCAAAAAAGCAATTTCTTGTTTCTTTAAGCATGTTGCAAATGCTTTGGTCCATCCATGTAAATTATTCTGTACAATTATCTGATGTTTCCTACAATATCAATTGCTTAAGTCATGTTGATCAAAATACATTATGAGTCTTATATTGTGCACATCAAAAAAGTAGTCTTATATTCTCACCCGGGGCTGAAAAGATTCCTCGAATAATTTGAGTAATTCGATTACAAAAAATCCTCGAGGCAAATTATCTGCCTCGAAGCTTCATAAAAATACATATATATATATATAATGTATAATCAGTGCACTTTAGTCATCCTAGAATTTTATCTGTGTTACACAATGCTATGACGTTAGCCCTTCCACTAACAGTTACACTGTCGACGCGTTGTGGCTGCCCGATACGTCCCGGTACCACCATCCATTCTCATTTGCGCATGTGCAGAAAGAAAAACAGCTCATTTGTGCATGTGCTAAATGATAGACTTCTGGAATGTGCTCGATTTTGGAAAAAAACTGAAAATATTTATTTCTATACTTAATTATAAAGGTGCGTTATTTTAGTCTGAAAACAGTTTTGATATTGTATTTTGATTAATGAAATATAAATTTACGATGCGTACATATTTATTTATAATAACTTGCTATTTTCTAGATAATTATGTTATAACTCATCTTATCTTTGTTTTATTTATTTTTTCCTGGAATAAAAATCCACAGCTGTAGCAAATGTTGCCTTTTTTATGAAACACTGCAGGTGATGAAAGACTGAAATCGAATGGATTCTGTCATCAGTTTAGCAAAATGTTACATGCTAAAAGCAAAGTTTCCAGGACAGTGTGGATCCTGCTTCCGGTGCAGATCAGGCAGCCACACACGTCTCATGTGTATGCTTGCTGAGCGCTATATTTAGCTTTAGACGAAGACGAAGAGTGCCTAAATGAAGCGCTCAGAAAATGAAAAATTATAAAAGCATGGGAACATTTAAAACCAAACAGAAAAGATGACAATGCGCAGTACGCGTCACATCCTCAATGTTTCTGCACGGGAACAAAAACGGCTCCTGCATGTACCGAACGCGTCCGGAGTTAACAACAGGTATTGTTCAGGTTCCCTTAATCTGTGATAATCTGTCATGTTACAAGGAGGAGGTATGTTTTGGCTAACGTTATTTGTGCTGACTAATCATGGTGACCTGGCAGGGTTTTATTAAACAGTGTGTAATTTGTGTGATTAAAAACAATACTTACTGTAAGTTTATCAGATAAAAATAAAAGCACAGCAACAGATTGACAGCTTGAGCTGAAACACCTTTATTTGTTGATATGCTTATCTCAATTTAAATGAAATACTTTAAAAGTATTTATAGAAGATAGTTGTATTTTTAAATTATTTGCTGCTACTTTTTATGACTTTAGCCTTCATTACTACTGTCAWATTTGTTTATAGCTAAGCAGTCAAAACTAAACCTTTAAATGGGAACCTTGCACCAAACTAATAACAGTCTTAAAAAATATGAATCTTTTGTTACAATTAATGAGTGAACTCTACAAAACTAAATTGCAACACCCAAATGTTTATATTACTCATTTTACTTATTAAATTTCTAACCAAAATGAAATTTATTCAGTTTTCCAATCACATTCATTTCAAAATGCACGTGCAGCAGCAGCGATTGAACTGGGGTTCCACAGGAGCTTTCCAGAGGGAGCTGGCAGACCCATCAGGACTGTGTCAGTCCAGTCCACCCAAAGCAGAGTCATGACCAATGGAATCGTCTCCTCCATCTGATTCTAAAGACTGAGTTATGGTCGAGCTCTGGAGCGGCACACCCTCGCMGGCAGTGGAGGTGTTTCATACTTGGCGTTTACGTTGTTGTAGATTTCTCCAAAATGACACGTGGAAGTACACTTTTGTAGGAATTACTTAATGAAATCAGGGCCAGCCTATTTTCATAAATGTAATCCTGCCAGACCTTGCAAGAAATGAAATCAGGAAGTCATGAAATACCCCTCCGGTCATGAATGTGAAAAGAACTTGTGGTCTTGTCAGATTTCTCAAAATAAAGTAATTTATTTTAGATATATGACCAGAATAAACATACAAATATTAATAAAAATATTATATNATATATAGGACTTTGTCCTATTCACTTAAAGAAAATAAAAACACTTTAAAATGATTTTCTTCTTATAAGTGTAAAAAAATTAAAATCAAAGACAAAGAAAAAACAATAGAAAAGTTTTTTTTCACCAGGGTGACCTCTACACTTTACAACTTGTGAAAATGCTGTAAGTAGGAGAGCAGAAGCTTGACAGACAAACAGACTGCACACAAAGCCTGCGGTGCTCACAGTGTTTGTGGAGACTCTCCAACATCACGTCACATCATGTGAACTCTACTGAGACGCAGAGACTCGTTTCTTCATATCAGCTATGAAATAAACTAAGATCTATGTTCTACCAAACATCTGAGTTCCTTCTGTGTTTACAGTAATTATGGTAATAAACTCATGCGCAAATTAATATTTTCAGACTCAGAATGGATGGATGAGCCGGTTGCAAAATACAGCAGCGTGCACACACACACACACACACACTGACACACAATCGCTCGTTCTTTGCGTAATAAACATATTTTATTCCTATTTTTACTTTTTTCTCACTCACATTATATTTAATTCATTATTTTTATGACATTAGAAATCATTTCTGATCACACAGGGCTCACTCAAACGTGTCCTTCACACATGCAGGAAGTAATCTGCATCTGTTTAACATATGTTAATGAAGGCGTGTCAGGGGAGGAGTCTCACCTGCGCTCAGTTCCACGTTAATTGTGATGTACAAAAGAAATGTGCGTGGATTCAGGCGTACGCACAGTTTGATACATCTGGATTTTTTTGTGCGTACGCCGTTTTCTGGATTTGACCGTACGTCAGGTTTCAGTAAGAAATCCACGCAAGTCTTTGTACATGAGGCCCCTGGAGTGGGGTTGTCAATACAAAAGCGTTTATACAAGTTATAGAACATCATCTGATCCTCTCCAGATGTCTTTTTCAGAGAAGACCTATAATTAATCCAGACAAATGTAAACCACATCCTGTATCCATTATATCAACATGACTTCATAGTAGAAGAGTCCAGGTGCTGAACTGACCTGCCTGCAGTCCAGAGCTTTCACCAACAGAAAATATTTAATACATTATGAAACTAGAGAAATTAAACCCACACCCAGCACTGGTATCCTCTCAGTGTTTCCCAAAGTTGGGGTCGGGACCCAATGTGGGGTCCTGAAACATCAAGGTGGGGTCCTGAAAAGATTTTCTGAATTAATTAAATTTTTGCCTTAGTTGTTACAAAGGAGTGAGTTTATCTAAAATGGATAAATGTAGTATAATAAATATTGTTACTATGCCCGTGTTTTGTTGACCTGATACAAATGTTTATCATCCAAAAATAGTTGTGGGCACAGGTCTCTGC